ATGACGAACAGCACTGCATTTCTGAACTAGGACATCATTCGTAAAGTGATCCTTACCCCAAATCAGTAACATATAATATCTACCACTATTTTCGCGACACTGCTATGGGCAATTGGCTGCTGCGTTTCGCCCACAAAATCTAAAGTCAATTCACTTTACAGTATATTCTGTGAAGCACTTTGAGATGTCTCGAAGATGTGATAAGGCATTATATCAAATGCAAGGATTATTATTAGTAGTAGTAGAATTTGGGAGGGAATAACGCTGTGTTTTCTTTCAATTTCTTCTCAACTGTTATTCAGTCATTTGTTTTTCATTTCACATGTTAGGAAATGGTTAGTTTATTTTTTTAGCGCAACCGTAAAACTGGATGAATTCACTGTCAGAATTTCCACTGGGTTAAAATGATGGAAGGACAAGCTGGAACATTTATACAATAACAATCCTTGTACTTAATATAAGATCAATAATGTCAAAATGTTTCAAAGCACTTCATATAGAATTGCTGTCCGGTGTAGCGACTGCATTTGTAGACCAATTGACCTGTTCACCTGACTACAGCTAACCTTGAAGACCCATCAGTAGAGCAGTTTTCATTCAGAATGTAACCCAGTTTTTAGCAACTATGTTCTCATCCTTTTTCAACTCCCTCCCTTGACTCCTTTCTATCGATCTTTAAATCTCACCTAAAAATCTACCTGATTGACTGAAACCACAGTCACCCCCACACCTCCAACTCTTCCCTTGCTCAGCACCTGACACAGACACCATGAAGTACTCTGATCCTTTTTCCTATTTGTTTCTTGTTGGGTTTCGATACTTGCAGTTTGTGATGCTGTATTATGCGGTATCGTGATACAGTAATTTACAAGTACGCAGTGCCTTTTCACATCGTGAGGATGTCTCAAAGCATTTTATGTGCTGAATGGCCAATATTTTTCACAGCCTCAATATGTTCACATTATTCGAGCTTGGGAATTTTTGAACAAAATCAAATACATCATGAAAAATAAAATCGTACTTTTGCCAGAATTGAATAGACAAGCACAGTCAATCCTTGCTTATGAGTATCCAAACCAGACTGAGAGTGCAACATACATATGCCACTTACACATGGAAATTTCTCTGCATCTGGAATGGAATGCTCACTCTCTCGCTGGAGGGACACACCCTGCTTATTTAAATCGGGAGAGTACTGGACACAGGTTGGCAAAAGCCGAGGCTTGGGGATCCCGGAGTGTGCGTTGGGGTAATGCTGGTGTTTAACCAACAGGAACAGAGTGGGAAGAACCCCTGCTCCTAGTGACAGGTTTGCCCCTCCAAGTCCTGCTGTTAGGCCAGGTTGGCTTCACTGCCATCAGCAGTGCCTGGAATACTGCTGACCTGCTTGGCTCAGGAACCGGACTAGCAAGAGAACCAACCACCGAGGGCTGGCTCAATTCTGTATTCCATTGCTAAACACATCAACCTGGAGCCAGCTTAACTCCAAGATAACTCCTCTCACCTCACCCCCCCCCCCCCATCCCCCCAGAATGGCCATCTTTGCAAACTCCAACAAACTTTACAACATTGGATGAGATGTAAGATTGAAGCTGAACCTGCCACCATCTATTTCTTACACACGAAGAGACAGCCAGAGTATTGATCCACTGAGGAGATAGTACAATTTAATTACACACATCAGCCACAGTTGATTCTGTCCATCTCTCTTTATTAAATCCCTATTCAAGAATTTCTCAAAACAAATCCATTATTTACTTATTTGAAGCTGCAACAAAATACCTCACTCTGCAACAAACAGGAATTGATCTGTTCAGTGCAATGAACTGCCCTGTATTCATTTTAGAGACTAAAATGAGCTCAGAAAAAAACACAGATGTTCTGAGGTACCAATAATTATCCTTAGAATACAAAATATTAAACAAACAAAGCCATGAGGTAAGAAACCTTTTCTAATTCTCATTCGTTTCTGTGCCCAGCCTGTGCTGGATTAATATATGTGACTTTAACATATTGTTAATGCAGCAACAGGCTTTGCTGTCCACTTTGGGGTATCAACAACAACTTGGATTTATATAGCGCCCTCCACGCCGGACAGTGTCTCACTCAATAAGAAAAGTATAATAATCAAATATCTAAAACATCAAATGTGCTGATAATAATAATACTCATAATAATCCTTGCATTTGATATTGCCCATTATCAGGTCGTCAAAATGTCTCAAAGTGCTTCACAGGATTTACTCTAAATCAGATTGACTGTATATTTTGTTGATGAAATACGCCTGCCTGAATCTAGAGCAAGAATCATATAGTACAAGAGGGCAGAGTTCTAGATTCAAGATCTAATTTGCAGTCGAAATGTAAAATTCCTTAAATATTGAACATAGATGTGTCCGAAGACCCCTTCGCCCTCGCCCAACACTGTTGATGCTCATGAAACCAAGTTACACATTCGCCTTTCGTCCTTTTGACTTGTCCGTAATGTCAAGAATGTCTCAAAGCACATCAAGGTTTTTCTGTAAAGTCTAGTGACTGTATATTTGTAGGCAACTAATTTGCATACAGCAATGTGCCCACCAACAGCTATTAAGAGAATCACCAATTCTATACCGCGGATTGTTGTTCCAAACTGGGAGAAATGCTATTCTGTACTCTTTTCAAATAGTGTCACAGAATCTTTAAGGTTGACCTGGAAGGCAGATGAATCCATCTGAACGATGCCGCTTAGCTCAGCACTCTCCTAGCTCTGCCCCGACATTGATTAACGATTGGTGGATGGAGGCTTTTTGTTAAAAGTAAATACTCATTGTAAAATTGCTATCCTGCTAATTGGTGAGCCTTGCAACCAATACATGACCTCTATTAATGGACATCAGCCATTAGAACAGTACTAGTGACGGGGGAGGGTGGGTGGGGAAACGTACAGATGGACAGGTGGGGAAATCTGTCTGCAGCACCTCCATGTAATTTGTATTCACTACTTAAAGAATTTCTAAATTTAAGCCAGATATTAAAGTCTATGGAATGATATAAAAGTCATCTTTTAAAGAGAGCCTCAAATCCTCCATCATAGGCATCCGGATCCTTGCATTAATTTTCAAAACCAGGTCGCAATCTGATAATGCACAAAGGTTGAGAGGCTGCAGTCACAGGGAAAAGCAGTGGAAGGAGTTTGATCCGTTTCTGCGAAGGGTCATTGTTCGTTTCACTGGTGAATGCAGAGTGAATGCAGAGAGAACATAAAGCACTAATTAAAATAATGCTCCTAGCAAGAGGGCAGATTGGCTCAATAAATAGCCGCTAGGAACCTCAGAGATGTTTTGTCAGTGTGTATACATTGCGTGTGTACTGATTTGCAGTCTAACAATGGTGATTTCTAAGGATAAAGGAACGACACTTTCCTAACTAACTCCACAGAGATCCTGAAACAGTAACATGGTGTTGGGTGGGTGCCAGAGAAGAAAAGTCCCAGTCGCAAAAGAAGTACTTCCAAATGTAAACAACTATTTAAAAAAGTTAACTTTTGGAATAATTAATTGTCAATAAACTAATTGCATATTTTACATGAAACCATTGTAGTACTGTATACGCATTAAAATGTAGTCAACGCTCCCCCTCCCCCCAGTATGACAGTCCCTCAGGCAAAACATAAATTCAGACAAAACATACATTGACCACATACACTGAGGCTGACATTCTCTGTTATGGAGTGCACACACATATCTTGCACTTCACATGCTGCGATCGAATTTGTGAACTAAAAAATATTGCTCGGTGATCCTGAAAAGCATATCCAATAGATTTAAATTATGTACAAATACAGCTTCTAATACCATCTGATGCGAAAACTGCTGTTTTGAATGTAGCATCGGGGAGAGATAATGCAGATCACCATCAGTAAATTAAAGAGCCATGCCCCGTGGTTTTATCAGTGAGAGAAATCCTGTGTTTTAAAAACTACAGACAAAGTAATGAAGTTATAGGACCTTTGCGCTTTCGGGGATCAATGTTTTTATGAAGATTTCCCTTAGTTATTAACATAAGATTTTGCTTTTTAAGAAATTGCCAACATTTCAATTCTCATATATGTCTTTGAGGAAATATTAAAATGTGCCACCTTGTAAAGATATAAGCAGATTTCTACAGTTCCTAATATAAGTGTCTTTTCCCCATGTCTCTGAATGTTTCTGCCCTGCTATCCCAGTTGTATCCAAGACTAGTTATGAGCTGTGTTCAATCTATCACAACCATTAAATGCTATAGGATCCCACTGTCGTCTAAATCTTTTACATCTATCATAACCCTTTTTGCACCTCTTTACTCTGGGAACAAGCATTTCAGTAGGGCTTGGAGCATCACATGAAATCTACTTTGTAGGTTCTCCTCGTTGGTTACATTATTTGGTGTTAATATTTCAATTGTTCTATTCTGGGGATAGCTCATTTATGTAGTGACATGCGGAAAACAAAATTTGAGTTCACGCAACACATCAGTGATGAAAATACACATTTTCAGCTCAAGAAAATCAGGAAACAGAAGGTGTAAACCTAAATAGGGGCTTCGTACCAAGAAACAGCTTCCCAGCTAAACAAACAGCCAATGCTTTTATTTTGTACTGCAACATTTGAACAAATATTAGAAACAGCTCAAGCATATTTGACTACATCAATGCACAGAAAGATTAATTAAATATCATAAAACATTTCAAGGAAATCAATTATAACCTGACTCTTTAAGTGATAACTACAGTAAACGTTCCAGATGACTAGATAGTGTACAAAAAGATTTTCTTTAATTCAACCAGACATGCAGGTTTGTTAAGAGGCTTGATAAACATACGTTTTCTTTACAAGAGCCAGGTCGGAGGATACATACTGGAGAGGTAAGAACACAGACCACTTTGTTTTTAATCATTGTTAATCACGCATGTGTCAATTTTGAATAGGATTTTTTTTAATTGATGAAAAGGGAGATTTTTGTTATAAAAAAGCAACCAACCTTTAGAACGTACGTCACACCAGATCCCAGGATTTTCTCATTAGAGTGAAGCCATCCCCGTGAGGGTTTATTGACAAAGCTGCCACTCTGATTCCAGTCCTCTCCACTTAGGTGAATCTCTTCTACCTTGACCCTCTTGCCCGTGCTCATCTTGTTCATGTCCTGCTGGGAACATGGAGTGGTAGAGACAGGGTTACATGCATCTACTGCTGCTCCAACTGAGCTTGGAGTGCTTGAACCTCCTTGCAGTTTAGAAGCTGCAAGGTCTTTCACTGCAGAGGAGAAATTTTTGATGCCCAACAGGCTGCCTGTGTTGGCGAATTTCAAATGGGACATTTTTTGGATGAAGGTGCAGAGAGCTGTGGGCCCATCCTCCGGGTCCTTGCGGAGCACCTCCGACGAGGTTGGGTACGAAGGAGAACCGGACGTCGTGGTAACAGTCGAGACCTTGGCATTCATTGACAAATTGTGTATAAGATCATCGAATGATGTCACGGATTCATTCCTGAAACGGTTGTACTTTGTACGTTGAAGCATCCCCTTCTATCTGCGTTTCTGCATATGTACATCCACATCTGATGCCAACCTAGTGTGCACTTGTCCTACCATAGCAGACCCCTCATAGCACCAAAATCCATCTGAGAAACCCAGGCAAACAAATGCTCACAGAAATAAATGTCTCTTAAGTGCAGAGGTAAAGGCCTGGCGTAGTAGTACTTTGCTAAGGCAGAGATCACCGTCCTGCTTAGAGCTGCCAAGCTGCTCGCAGCAAAAGCATGACTCACACAAATGAGAAGACCCTTTTCAACAAAAGGCTCACTGAACACTGCAAATCACTTCCTGTTGCAAAACCATCCACCCACTTACAGCACACTAGAACCAATCAATTTTCAAATTTCCCCTTCAAATCTTCAAATCTCGATAGAAGGACATTTTCACTCAAAGCCGTGGAATTTTTCTTTTCCAGAAAGTAAACAGCACCAATCACCAGCAAATTCATCTACATCAGAAACATTCCCACTTGATATTTTCACTGCGATAGACCATCCTTCTGCAGACCGGGCAGTCTTTCACCGTGCTGCATGAAGCTAAAATGTAAAGTCTCGAAAACCTCTGCATATGCCCGTATGGATTAAACAATACATTAAATCCAACGTAACTCTAATCCTATCTACGATCCACAAAATCATGATCCCACACTGTTACAGACCGGAATCAGGAGAAAATAGTTTAACTTTCTATAATGTTTGCAGATGTATGTGTTGTAAAAGCGTCAATTGAAACCATCTGCTTCTAATTAGAAAAATTCCACGTCCTCTACCCAACATTTTAAACTGAGCATAGGAAGCTTAAATAAAATCCATCTGCTGTGCGTTTTCATCCTTGCTCCTTTTTATTCTGCTCTTACTTTTAGAATTGAAAATGCCGACAATAAATCAGGCATTGCAGTAACCTCGGTGTTTCCCCTTTAATACAGTTCCTCTTGTAAAATCAACTGAGCACTCCTAATGTCAGATCCATAAAGCAGAAATGAATAAAGCTTTTCTTTACCCACCATTTTAGGGGCAGATTCCATGGCTTCTGAAAAGAAAAAAGCATTAATAAATGGAACGCACTGTTCGTCTCATTCATAATCTGCACTGCATTGATTTCTCAGCGTCTTAACTCAGCGTCCACACATTTCATTGAAGAAAGAATTTGGTTTTATTATAATGTGCACATTCTCACATACATATACACACACACAGACATATACACACACAGAAGAAATAAGCAATTCATCATCCTGTAGGAAAGTGATGCTTCAAACCATTTATATTTATTTGAATGAAATGGTAAGCGAGCCTACCAATAATTCTATGAATGAAATAGGGCCTTACTGCATCTGCCAAGCGATCCCTTGGGTGCTAATGGCTTTATCCAATAACAAAGAACCTGGATGATTCATTCAGGATAGGATTTCTGAATAGTGGAATCTTCCATTTTTTATACAGGTACGGTTTTCTCATGTTAATAAGATAAGCTACTTACTACAATTCAGCAGCATAAATTTGGTTTCCTATCAATAGAGCATGATTAATTAAATAACAGGCGTGGGAGGATTCAGATGTTAATGTGATTAGCACAGCTTCCTTCGTATATATTTTCATCCGACCCCTCAGGGATGCATCCAACTGATCCATTCACATCAGTAAAGTGAATAGAAATGTGCACCATATAACATTTGCTTTTCCTGTGATTTGAATGTTAATTTGTATCTCTAAAATATCAGAATATATCACCCGATTGCATATTGCTATAGCAATAAAAACAAGATTGTGTTTTTCAATTCATTTATATGAGAAACATACACCCCCTGTAGAGTTTAACTCTTGATTGTCTATGACAGTTGTAAGCTGCAAGGGTGCCAGCATTTCAATTTATTTGTGATATAGAAGTCATTCCTGAATAACATTAGCATTCAATAAACTACAAAGAATGTAAAGATGTATTTGTAACTTAAATGATCCTGACGTAATAATAATAATAATAATTCTTGCATTTGGTATAGCGCCTTTCATATCAGGAGGATGCCTCACAGTGCTTCACAGGATATAATGTAAAGCTGAGTGACTGTGTGAGTACAGCAGCCAATTTACGCAAAGCAATGTCCCATAAACAGGCATGGAATGAATTTTGTTTGGACAGGACACTGGGAAAAACTCCGTTCTCTTTTCCATTAGTGCCATGGGATCTTTAACATCCATCTGAACAGTCGTAAAGGTCACTTACAGGTAAGAAAAAAAGCACGGTTCAGTTAACAATAATAATCCTTGCATTTGATATCATGCCATTTCACGTCTTCAAGATGTCTCAAAGCACTTCACAGAATGTACTATAAAGTGAACAAAAGGAAAGTACTGCAGATGCTGGAAATCTGGTACAAACACAGAAGTCGCTGGGAACATGCAGCAGGTCAGGCAGCATCTATGGAGAGAGTACAACGAGTTAACGTTTCAGGTCAATGACCTTTCGTCAGCAAGGTCAAAAGGTCATTGACCTGAAACATTGACTCATTTTCCTCTCTTCATAGATGCTGCCCGAACTGCTGCGTGTTCCCAGCGACTTCTGTGTTTATACTGTAAAGTGAATTGACTATATATTTTGTGGGTGATTTTACAACAAGATACTTATTTAAGAAGGACATATTTTATTAGGTTAAAGAAATGCATTGCTATCAAGGTAATAACAAAATATAATTGCTGTTATTTAGGAGGTGTTAATAGAAGTAAAATGTAGACGACCGACAGTGTGATAAATGGTGCATCATTATAGCCATCACGACAATTTCCCAATATCTGATTAAAACCATCTCTTGCAATGCTGGATCAGACGCTTAAATGAGACACAGTACATCACCTCACTCTCATCCTCCTGTTTTTCCCTTTAATATTTACTCCCAGATTAAACCTACACTGTCAATGGCAAAATGATTGCAATGCGGCTAAAAGCATATCAAAAATTGGATTCCCAATTTATACGAACAGCACGATGGATCAGAAAGTTCTTTGTATCCTTGCTGCACTTTAATAATGTTTCATTAAATGGTGCCAGAGCACGAATGCAAAATTGGCTGTATGTGTGTGGTCGCAAACCGCATAGGATATGCAGTCCTTCTAGGGTTAATCCAAATTGCCACAATTTCCTGGTTTTTTTTAAAAAAAAACTCTCCAAAGATAAATAATTAAAGATGCAAGGGATGAACAAGTGCACGGGAAACAGCACAGATTGGTTACACGTAGGTGTTAGGGGCATTCATTTTCATCCAACCATTGAACAAAGAGCTGCCTGCAATTTCACTCATTCACTGATGCGTGACTCGCAGCACAATAATGTGGGCAGCAGCATACAGATCCAAACGCAGCGCAGAAAAATGGTCCTTTCCTCGCCATCACTAATTCAATATCTATTTTCTTGAAATGAACCAAAAGGCAAGGCTTCATTCATAAAAATTAAAAAGACCATCTTTTATTCTGGCCAGTCAAGTCTTGCTGCTTTCATACACATTCAGTAATTCACTGTAACTGTAACAGCTTATTCTTGATGCCATTTACTCTGGAATTGTTTTTAAATCTAACCTAGCTGCAGAATAACATAAGATCCAGCATCCAGCTCTTTGTCCACCATATTGAAAACCCCTTAAACATGGAATGTTATTAAATAATCTAGCCTACCATTTGTTTTTTTTTGTATAAAATCTGTCATCTGATTGTACAATTTAGCAACATTAATTTCAAAAGTGAGTCTTGGTCTTTTGCTCTGAAATGTAGATGCTGCAAATGGCTTTCTCACACCTGCAGAGAGGGACTCTGGCCTGAGATTGCTTTTGCAAATTCAACCTTTTTCAAGCTTGTCACGATTAGTTAATGACCGAACAGCAGCATCTAATTATTGGTTTTAAATTTAAAATGTTTAACTTCTAGTCAATGTTGTTGTTTTCTGGTGCAACCTTCCTTCTGCAATCCTTCCAAGGGGCATCTTTAGGCAGATATTTTGCCTCTAAATATGTATTCAACCCTGTGAAGTAAATACAGACTTTATAGTAAACCTGTGAAGCACTTCAAGATAATTCTATGACATGATATATTACAACATCAAATACTATTATTATAATATTTGCATTTGATATTGTACTATATCACAACATGAAAGGCACTATATAAATACAATTTGTTGTTGTTAATATTATCTTCAGCCAGTCCCTCCAGTTCTGACAAATTGTCATTCACCAAAGGTTAACCTGCCTTTCTCTTTTGCGTGCTGTTCAACCTGCTGTGCATTTTGGGGACAGGATCATCAGTATGGAATGATGCTGAGATTTATAGTATATGATAATAATATGTCGCTCAGTTCTGATTAGCATTTATAAATGTTTGAAGCATTCATTGCTTCCACAGATAAACCTTTCAGTGAGTGTGGCCCAGCCTATTGTGAAACAGTCAGTATCTGGAGCAATGATAACCATAATTAATTCACCTAAGGACCCCATTTATAATGCCTTTCAAAATAGCCTGGTCTCACTTAAAGGCAGGTTGGTAATGGACTCAGATGTTCTGACATCAAAGCATGAAAATCTCTTAATCACAAAAATTACACTAGTAGGTGAGGTTAGGCATCATGTGAGCCATGCAAAAGTGCTGCTAGTCACAGTCTCGCCCCATCCTAGTTCTGCAACCTCCTAAAACTCTACCAACCCAGCCACTTCCTTTGCTCAGAAGGCACTGGCCTGCTTCATGTTTCCTATCCCTTCTGCCCCCACAATCTGGAACTCCATCCCAGGGTCCCTCTGACATACTCCCACCCTCTCTCCTTCACCTTATTCAAGGTTTGTGTAAAGACCTACCTATCTCTTTCATGTTTTCAGTCATCTTGCCCCTCTCCACCCCTCTCAGCTCCAAACCTCAGCTCGATTGCCAAGCCAGAAGTGTTAGGTACCTTGGGTCCTCCCGACGTGAAAGGTGTTGTATAAATGTAAACTTATATTGTATGTTATGCCCAGTAAGCCCAAGTGATTTTGTAAACGTAGAAGCACTATTTTGCACTGTCGCTCATATTGTGAGTTAGAATTCTCTGCATAATAGCAGGGTTCTCCTGTATTTGGGACATC